CCCCCCCCCAAAGAAATGTTAGGTTTGTATTCTGTCGCTTGCCGCCTCCATCTGAAGGGTTGTTCCACTCGTCCCTCGGCATGCCTCGAATACGTACAGACTGGCCTTCTGTCAGGCAGGATTTACAGAGGAAGGGGCTAGAGTTAAGCATTTTCAGTTTCCTAAACCTGGGGCTCTGTTGTCTGCAATGACTTTAGCGACTTGAGCAGCAATAAGGAATGGCTCTAAACTAATCTTAGCGACTGCTTTGACTTCATGGTTTTCAGAGTGCCCTCCCCACTTCAGTGATGAACATGATCAGTGGGGAGCTACAGTCTTACAGTGATGTCTGTGACGCTCTGTCCGTCACTGAAATTACCTTGGGATTCCTGGCCATGGCTGGAGAGAATGCCGAAATGCTTCTGACTGACTACATCAAAAATGTTCTGCAGATGGGTGATCAGACAAATCCTCACGTACTGCAGGTGAGTCCCTGAGAGCAAAGCTCTTACTCTTGCAGGATAAAATCTGTACTGGCTTATACTAAACCCAGCCAGTCTGATCTCCAAGCCCAGCAAATGTTCCTCTTGCAAAGGTATTTGATATAATTCCCTCCCCACCGTATTCAACAGCAGGGGGAAACAATTTTACTTCCCCTGCAACCGGTGTTTGTAAGGTGGGAGCATCCAATAGCTTGTGATGCTCTCAGCAGGTTCTTGCAAAACCCTCCAGAAAGGTCAGGTCCTGCACTTCTCTGCAGATCTGAGCTCTTCTGTCAGCACCAGGGAGGAGAATTCTCAGTTGAGTGTCAGCACAATTAGTTCAACGCTAAAAATTGAGAAAAAGGACAACTTTCAGTTATGAGTCAGTCTTCAGTGACATTGGTTTGCCTGGTGCCGAGCAGGATTGAAAATATCCCTGTACCTCTCAAAAATGGTGACAGGGGAAGGTTTCCTCTCCTAATGATGTGTGAAGAGGCCCTTGGCTGATAAGGGCAGAGGCACTATGCTGTGACGTGTGCCGTGGCCCTGTCACTTTCCCACTCCCTTTCACGATACCGAAAAGTTGGATTATTGAAGGAAAAATGCAGAAGAGGGAGAGAGAAGCCTATTGCAGACAAGCTTCTGTGCCCAGGCTGAACTGCTGAACTCTGTGCTCCTGCTCCTCTGCAGTTTTAGCCTGCATGGGCAGGGCAGGGTGTGGACAGGTTCCTAAATACACCCCTTGCACCCAGGTTCACTCCATATGTGGTTTTTTTCAGGCCCTAAGACGATGCCACCTGAAGCACAACATCGCCCTATGGCAACTCCTCTCTACCTGCAAATCTGAGCAGCTTCTGCGCCTCAGAAGGGTAAGGACACTGCTGGCTTCAGTCGTCTAATCGGCTTGTTCCTCTTCTCTAAATTAAGTTGCTCAAATGTCTATGGTTGTTTTTTAACCCCTCACTGTGTTTTTAGGATCCTTTTGTAGACATCAATACAGTCTACAAAGCTGAGCTCAGTCCAGAGATTGCCAAGCTCCTCAACACCTTCCTTGTCCACTCAAGGCTGGAAACCTTCCTGCAGGAGCTCCACGAAATGATCGTTTTGAAGCTGAGACGTGTCCAGGCTGTGGATGAATTCAGACCCACGTGGAGGTAACAGCTGTACAGCCCAAACCAAGCCACTGTTAACTTGAGCTCCTCTGCCTCCGGAACTGCACGTGGTGGGAACGTTCCCTCGGCAGATGGCTGCCCTGCCAGGCACAAACCACGAGCATCGCCATTAACAATACGCAGTTCTAAGACACGGTGCCCGTTTCTGGCACGTATGACTCTTCCTCAGCTTACACAGGCTATTTTGGGAACACTGCGGGCTATACAAGGAGCTGCTGTTCAGGAGCACTAAAGATAAACCCAAGCGCTTCCGCAGTGGCCCAGAGCAGCACACTCTGCGTTCCACGGGCAGAGCCTGGCCCTCGCCCCTTGGTTCTGACCTGCAGACCCCATTCCTGGGTTCTTCAGCCCCTCTCTAAATCTGACTGGCCGTTCAGTCCTCCTCGTTACAAAATACACTTATTCAAACTCTCTATACTTGATATTTGTGCATTCCTCCCACACACAATACTATGTGCCATGTGCTGTTTGCTCTACACCATCTCTTAATACTACTTTTGCTCTGTTTTCCAGCCTGAAGGAATCGCTCATTCCTTACCTTGATGCCAAAGACTCTGAGTTAGCTACAGAGCTGCAAGACATGTTCCCTGATGAGATTCTTCTCTCCCACGCTACTGCCACCTGGAAAGCTGCTGCTCTCTTCAAAAGAGAGCGCAGGGAAGGCTAGGACTGCTCCCTCCTGAGCCGCAGGGACTTAGTGCTGCAAACACGGGGCCTCGGGGGCTTGGGGTTTGTGGTCGTCATTTGTTTCGGGGGGCTTGTGCGTTTTCCTACCAACTTCAGTACCAAGAGTGTAATGGAAAGATCAGATGCTTTCATGCATCAGAAAGACGATGGAGAAGCAGGAGGCTGCACCTGGAAGCAGAGACTCTTGAAGGCATCCTAAAAAAAAAAAACCCAAAACCAAATCCTGAGGCCACCTGCTGAAGGTGAAGGATCGTTCTCAAGAGCGTGGCTGCTGGGAAGGGGTGGGGAGCGTGCGGCCAGCCTCCCGGCACACAACCGGCCCCGGCGGGGGAACACGAGCGCCGGGGGAAGCGGCTCCTTCCCT